CCGAATGCTTATGTTTCACATTATATTTTCAACTGCATGAAACAGTTACGTCTAATGGACTATAGGTTAAGCGTCGACGTAGCATGGTTAACTAGCACTGTATCAAGCATTATTTTCTAAACAAAATGTGAGTGATCATGAACGTATAATGATGTTCGAATATATGTAATAGTGCAAAAGTCTTGGAACGTAATACTTATAAACAAAGAATGAGTGACGAAATAAAACCAATGATAGGTCAATAAAATGTATTTGGTGCAGTAAATCGATGAGAAGTAGATAACAAGGACCTCAAACTACTTTGACGTTGATGACTTTTTAAGCTTACGATCGTAGTTACCATTTTCAGCCTTGAGATATCCAAGACATCTAGCAGCTGAGCTGTACGTTGTGAAGTCCAAGTGATGGCCTAACAGAATATGCGACTAGATTGTTTGTGGTAGTGTGTTTCTTTCAATCTGCCGCAGTTGCAAGACATCGGCAGGACCACCGAATTAGCTGTCTGTTTGGGATAAAAATTAAGTGAGATATACACATTCCAGCCTTCATTCTAAAAGGGTAGGAATAAGCTAAAGCTTATCTTTATGTGAACGACTTGACCAATTCATTATCTTAAGTTCAAGTCTTATGATGGAAAATTAATTGTGATATCGCAATCACCAACAGAATTGCAAACTTCTGTTTATATCCAATGAAACACGATTTCCTTCAATACCAACATTAGAAGGGATTTTCGTTAGTTAGAAATAAATCAAAGCAAGTCGAATTATGTTCGCAACTACTACCTTGTACAGGTGCATGAAATACTTCTAGAAAAAAACTCGATATATTTCAAAGCTTAAGGCTATTCACTCCATTCTCCCAGTTCACCAATTATTCAGTATCTAGTTCTTTCTAGCACTTTCCCATTTATATACTGGAAAGACACTGTATAATAATTGAGTGTGAAAAATGCCCAAATATGTATTATACAAAGAGCCTAACCTGTAACTCAGTAGAACTCTCAGATGTGAACCTGAGCGATTCAAATGGTTCGAATGGTTGTAGACGGAATAGAAGAAGCTTTCGCTTAACGGGCTTCCGTGTCTAGTAGCAGTGGATCACCAATACCTCCAGGCAGGAACCTTTGTATAATAACGATAATAAAAGAAAAAAGAAACTGGTGAATTACAATAAGATGTTATTCCTAATCCTTAAGAATAGGTCGAGTTTCCTCTTAAAGGACTCCTGGGAAGTCGCTTAGACTAGTTCAGTCGGCAGCGAATTCCAGCATTTGTCAACTCTCAAGGAGTAGAGGTTGTGTCTACATGCTGTTCTGCTATGTTGTGTCGCCGATTTCTGGGTGTTACCCCTTAGGTTTGTATTGGGACTAAGCTTAATTAGGTGTTTGAGGGGATGTCCAGAAGTGTTAAGGATACTGTAAGCCATTAAAAGGTCATCTCTAAGACGCCTACACTCTAATGGATAAAGAATAAATGATTGGAGGCGCTCTTCATAAGGTTTGAATTTGAGTCCCCGAACTGATTTCTCGGCCCGCCATTGGATACGCTCCACAGTGGTCTTATCATTTTGGAGTGAGGGAGAAAATAATATGTTTCTGTACCCTAAATGTGGACGAATAAAACAGTTGAACATTATGTGGAAACTTCTTTGAAGTCGAGTCAGATCCTCCTGATGTGCCGGTATATTGTCTTGATTCCAAACTTCTCTCCAAAATTCACAATGACTGAGAAAAGTAATAAATCGGACGATACCTGGTGATGAAAGTTATACAAAAATTAAGGAAAATAGAGATCCTAAAACTGGAACCTGAGAACATTCTGTAGCCTGAGAAAAGTGAAGTTTACTTTGAACGTAAAAAGCATATTATTTAGATGAGAACTAAGCCAGTAAATTAGAGATGACTTGGTGCCTATTTATTTGTGCTTACTGATGAGACACATGACTGACCCTATCAAAAGCTTCGGTGAAGTCGAGGCATCGGACACCAACCATCCCCTTGAGATCAGGGATGGTTGTCCATCTGTCCATTGCAATCAGTAGGTTCGCTATGCAGGAGTTACCCTTCATGGAACCATGCTGTTGGGATAAAAAGAAGTTCATAGATGGTAAGTAGTTACGTGGTTCGCTGTATATCAGAGACTCTATAACTTTTTAAAGTGTTGAAAGATGTGCCATCGGTCGGTAGTTTAGATATTCTGTACATCGGCCTCCCATAAAAATCAGTGAATGTGCACCAGCTTACTATCTTAAGATACTATACCTCGGCTAAAAGATGTGAGAGCATTACATTGGGCGATCTTCCCAATATTGAAGTCGTTTCTCACAATATAGCAAAATGAGTCATTTTCGAGCTAGAAGAAATGGTCTCGTCTGCACTACTAATGGCCCGACAAATAACGAAGGCGATGCCGCTTACTTTTTGGCTGAATAATACTCTCAGACATTTCAACCGACCCACATCAAACATACTGACGAAAGCTTCATCTGCAACTGCACAGGACTTTCCAAAGTGAACCTGAGCGCTGAATTGGTGTTCCGGAAACTGCAGCACCTAAGAAAAGACGCTCCTCCTGGCAGGATACAGTTCATTCTGCTATACTGGGGAAATCACCTTCAATCCTGGTAACACCACGTAGCGTGATGTTCCCACACTCGCCAACCCGAGGTAAACCATCAGAGATGCGGAAGCTGGCTCACATCACACCAATTTTCAAAGTACGTCGATGCAGCGAACCTTCAAGTTACTGACCGTTGGCTCTTTCATCTATACCTTCAAAAATTATGGAGTCCCTGATATTCCATGGTATACATGAATATTTACTATCTTTAAACTTTTTTTCACCCCAACAGCATGGTTTCAGGAAGGGTCAATCTTGTATTAACAACCTGCTTACTGCGGAGGACAGATGAACAAGCATCCTTGATCGCAAGGGGAAGGTTGACATCATTTACCTTGATTCCTCAAAAGTTTCTAATAGGGTCAGCCATACATGTCTTATCAATGAGCTCAAACGATTGAGTGCCAAATCATCTCTTAGTGACTAGCTCATTTCATATCTGAAAATCGACATTTTAAGGTCAGGATTAACTTCACTTCCTCTCAGGCTATGGAATGTTCTAGTGGGGTCCCCTATTGCTCAGTACTAGGACCTCTTCTCTTCTTCTTGCCTAATTTTTCTTACTTTGCAGTTGTATCAGTTACTTTTTCCACCCTATTTCTTCACTTAAAGTATACAGGTAACTCACTGGACCTATTGATGCTGCTCAACTGAACTCGGTTGCTAAGGGACGCGTACTACTACCCTAAAACGTCAAGGGAACCGCACAATCGACCGCCCACTACCAGTGGTCTTGCATCTATGGACCCTATTATCCATCAAGCGTTTACGATAGCGCAACATATCATCAGCACCAAGTTAATGTGAGTTTCGTCCTGTTTATTCTTTATTAATATTTTACTCTTCAGTACACTGTGTTGACTAAAAATTAATATTATTTCTCCACTCGTTACCTTAGCTATAACCCATATACATCTATACTTTTCCGCCTGCTTTAGTAAAGAACTATTCTAGATTATACCCTTCTTAATGCTTATACTCTGATTGGCAAACTAAACTTTATACTATAGTCAATCAAAGCACTGCATCGATGCCTTACCCACAGTCCGAAACTGCCTGCCTGCCTGATAAGCTTGTAAAATGTTACTTACAGAACGTGTTTTCCAACAGGTAGTGAAACACAGAGGATTGTATGAGGTATGACATATATCCAAAAATAAGCTTAATTAAGCCTAACATCAGAAAAGGAGGGAGGGTGGAGTTACTGACCAGCAAGCATTGATGGTGAGGGCGATGACTTCAATCCACCCGTGTTTGTGGGACAGAACATTTTGTATGTGTCAGGCTCTTTATGATTGAGAATAAGTCAATTAACCTGTGATATAGATTGTCTTTATACGCTCACCACGCACACTCATGTTTCCAGTTTTTTGCTAGATTAGCTATTCTACTGAGACAAACTACAACATGCTAACTCGGACTTTTACACTAGGATTATGTGGCTGGCATCGGATGGACAAAAAAAGAAAAGAAAGAAAAAATTAGACAACAAAAGATATAGCCATTAGTATTCTTAACACTTCACCTTGTATATGCACACTCCCTTCTCATAAACCGCTTTCCTTGTACCAACCTTGACTTCCCTGACGATGTCAAGATATGGAGAACGATACGATGTAAGTGTATTAGCTTAGAACTCCAAAATGACCTGAAGAAATTATCTGAATGGTCTCAAAACTGCCAGTTGCCGATAAATACTTCCAAGTGTGTTGTGATGCATATCGTTCATCAAGGTACAGATACATACACGATGAATAACACTGAGCTACCTGTTGTCCAGATACATAATGACTTAGGAGTCATCGTTAGCCAAGACTTAAAGACCAATTCACACTGCCGTGCAATAGCCGTCAAAGGTTTTAGAATCTTATAGTCAATACATAGATCTTTTAGTCATGTCGACGCTAAATCATTTTTGACTTTATATATAGTGTTCGTACGTCCTGAACTTGAGTACTGCATACAAGCGGTCAGCCCCTGCGTAAAAATGACAGTGAGCTTCTGGAAGAAGTCCAGAGAACAGCAACTAAGCTGATTTCCGGTATAGCGAAGCTTCTGTATGATGCTCAACTGGCCAAGCTAAACCTTTTCCCGTTGTGATATCGTAGAACTAGAGGCGACTTGATTACAGTTTTCAAATCACCTAGTGTAAAGTTTCACATGATATGCTCTCATTTTTCTTGTTTTCCAAACTGAAACTGAAACTAAGGCGAAAGCTACTATTCCGTTTAGAACCCCTGAACCCACAAATAACCATCAAATTGATTAGGATTATTGCGGTAGAGCAACCGAAACAACATGTGCCAGATATTGTCAATGACTTTCAACTAAAATGAAACAATTAAAGAGACCATAGCGAGAACAAGCTGGATTTCAGCTATTGGATATTGAAACGAAAATTTTTAAATACTCAAGGTCGCCTTTCCTATGATCCCCCATTATAACCAACAACTTATGGCTCAACATCCTAACTCTGGGAGGGCTATTATCTCTGGTAAGCCTCAGAATCACGTAGTGGTAGTTGTCTTACAATATTTAGTGTACAGCTCAAAATGTAAACATTTAGTATTTAGCATTAGTATCGTATTTCGGGTTACGGATACAGTACTAATCGTCATAATTTTTTTTACATAAGTCAGAAAATTTATCTGAGTAATCATGGGAGTGTTGGAGGTGTGCGATCAACAAGCACAACTTACAAAGAAGGAAATCAACATCGATTTAAGCTATTTGTAAGGTCGACTTCTAACACACTTTCGTTACATTACTTTATGACCTTTCGATGCATTTGTACTGTGATTTGTATTTAGTGATAATCTCTCAGTACAGAAAATGCAATCATCGTAACTGAATAAGTTGAACACCATCATCAACAAAGCTTCCATTAAGACAATGGACCTCACTCTAGTTAGTGAGGCAGAGACGAGAGGGATAGAGGCAGTCTTGTTCACCTTATCGAAGTCTGAGTTGTAAGTGCACGAACGTATGGGTAGGTGCTGGTGGTGGAGTGACACGAAGTTGGTTTACATACAGTGAAAGCCTGAACAATTTATGCTAATCTGGACCATTTTTGTGGCCGTCGTGCTCCTGGTCTAGCTGACGTGGATTGAAATAGAAGCCAATAATGGTCTTTCTGTAGTTTCCCGTTACATTCTTTATAAAAATGATAGAAACTGGTTTCACTAAAAGATGTCGTTCTTAGTTTTATTCCTAGTTAAACCGAATCGCCTACTATAAACTATTTTCGTCCACCTACTTTTATTCCTTATTTATGCAGAATATACTCCCTCTGCCTCCATCTTTCCACATCCTCATTTTATTATTGTGTAGCGCATGTCAGTTTTTTGCTCGTTCGTATCAGTATTTACGAAATAAATTGGTAAAATAGATACCGCCTATGTCTACATGTAAACCTTGCCGACATGGATTTTTTAAGTTTTCTTGGTTATAAACCAAATGTTTTGAGTCCACTGTCAGTCCTTAATTTACGCTTCTCGACCTCATTCTCTTTGAACCACATTTTTTATGTTTGGCTTCCCATCACAGCTGGTATTTTCCTCTCTTTTCTGATCCCTATTTTGCTAACCGTCTCGTTGTGGGGAAATAAGTCGTAGCAACGTTTATCAATTTATATTCGTGTAATTTCTTGTTTCGTTATCCTTTACTGACATCTGATTGTAGAAGGTTCGCACATTTAGTCGTCGAAACCGATTAAAGATAATTAAACTAGGCTGTTTTCTAACTGCTTTTACGTTGGTATGCTAATTTTGTATTTCGTCCATATTTCTAATTTTCCAGGTCCCCGTCCATCTGGGCCTGGTATTCTGCCATCTATAGTTAGTCAGGATGGTAATCAGGTTAATCAGCTTGCGAGCAGACGAATGTTGCCAGCTGATCCGCGCCTGCATCAGATTATCGGACGTGCGGCTACCGCGTAAGTATTTCGTTATAAATTATCTCTTTTATCTAATATGTGCTTGTAAGCATTAACCATTTTTATAACTTTCCTCAAAGTTCGATTGATGAGTTTGTCTAAAATTCTGTACTATTTTTTATCAATTGTGGTAGTAGGTAATGTGGTGATGCTTAGGCAATAAATAAAACTAATTGACGAATTATGTGTGAAATCGATATAAATTAAACCATGATGCGCCAAACTAACAATTAAGCGACAGATAGTTCTCATTTAAACACTAAAATTAAAACACGAATTTCAGCGAAGGGATCTCTTTTCAACGAACTTATTATCAAGCTGTACAATCGTATATATATGAAAATTTTGTTTTTGTAAAAGTACTAATTCCGTGAGGAAATATGAACACAGTTAATAAAAAGGTTATAATACTAGATTACGTAATACGAATAATAACAATAGATTTAGTGAATATAACAAGATGATTACGTCTGATGTTCGATCACCTTTAAATTCCAGACTTATATAAAGGTTTTTCTTCGTAACGGGAAAACTAGGTTTCTTGTCACAACTACTTTTATTCATATTCTTTCCTATGAACCGTTCTGGGTAACCATTTTCCGTCAGGGTTTTCTTGAGGAATTCGAGTTTTTCGTTAATGCATTCCTTACTGCATATCTGATGTATTCGATAACATAAAGAGTGGATGAGGTTTCTCTTTCTACTTAACGCGACCCAGCTATAGAAGTTGGGTTAGCTGTCCATTCCATGTTTGTTTTCTAAAGATAGATCTTTTTAAAGAACCATTACTCCTCATCAGACGTACATCGAGAAAAGGAATTGATCGGTCTTGTTCCCTTTCTAACGTGAAGTCTATGGAAGGGTGGCATGAGTTGAAGGCGTGTAGAATATCACCTAAATCAATATTATTGTCACAAACGATAAACGTGTCGTCCATATATCTGACGTATAGCTGAAATTGATTGATCATTGAGCCTAGTTGGTCGTTTTCTAGTTTTTCCATGAAACAATCTGCTAAAATCGGACCCAATGGAGACCCCATTGCGATCCCATCCCTCTGTCTATGTATTTCATTATTGAAATTAAACTGGACATTAAAAGTACAGCGTAACAATAGTTCTTTCAAGTGTTCAGTCGGCAAACCTAGATCTATGTTGTTGGAATCAATATACTCACATATATAACATATCGTTTCGGTTTAAGGTACGCCAGTGAACAAAGAGTTAACGTCAAGCGATAACATGTGTTTTCCGGAAGTATTAAGTGTGTTCACATTTCCTCACGGAATTAGTACTTTTACAAAAACAAAATTTTCATATATATACGATTGTACAGCTTGATAATAAATTCGTTGAAAAGAGATCCCTTCGCTGAAATTCGTGTTCTAATTTTAACAATTAAGCACTCGCGGGACAGTTTTCGTGTCCGTGAAGTTTTAGCATATTCGAATCTCAATGTTTAATATGTATGCAATATGTTGTATCTTTCCGTCTATTTATTCAGTAGATGTTTCGTCGAAGAGCATTATTTTCACTGATTATTTAATTTCAAACCACTTTCACTTTATTTGTTTTCATCTAGCAAGTTAGGATGGGCTTTATTGTCCTGTTTGTTGAGGACATGTTTATAACTTTCTATGACTAGAATAAAATCCCCCTGTGAAAATTATGCTCTTATATGCAGTACTGATCTACAGAATTAACGGAAAAATGCTTGAAAACGCTAGCACTTATCGAACTTTGAAAAAAGGATGGTTATCCTCATCCACACTTGAAAATAAACTATTTTGATTTTGTTGCGCTACTTCAGCTATTAGTTTTTTTATTATAAACAACTCACCTATAGATCACAATTTATGGGATGGAATGTTATTATTCAGTTGCGAATTCTTCACGTTCTATACAGTTTTTTGTTATATGCCTGCGTCATCTCTGTATAAGATTCTACATGCTGAATTTTATCATCTTGGAAGAAGGAACTATTCAGAGTCTACGTAACATCCTTAAATTTCTATGATTATGTACTTGATGGATTCTTTTGCAAGCATGCGATGATCCACTACACACACTGTATGAATCGTTAAGAAGCACTAAGTGAGACATTCATTTCCCTTCAGTCGATAGCTGTTACCTCAACCCTTATCTATTTCACTAATGAAGTTCGGTTATACTTAACCCATAAGATCTTACGATGTCAAAAAGTCCGATCAACAATGACGGAAGTGAGTTCCGTTATTCTCATGGTGTTAGTACTTGTGGTGTGCCGAAATTATTAAGTAATGGCTGGGAATAATTTAAGCCTGTTAAAAGGGTTTTATTTATTTATTTATTTGAACACAAATATTGGTACAAGGGGACACCAGATATATATGCGCCACATAAAACAATGAGAATGAGAAGAGAAAAAGAAGGTTACAGCAGGATCGCCACTGGCTTCTATTCTGGGCCATATCTGATAACGTCTCTAGCCACTGTGTTGCACCATCTCTCGGGCCCCAACCAGGGAGTCGCGAAGGACCAACACAAGCCAACCTTTTGCAGCTTTCTTTCATACCCCGACACCATGTCATACACTGGCCACTTGCCCGCTTTTTCCAACCAGTTCCAGAGTCGTCAAATAATGCACGACGTGGAACTCTCTGGGACGACATTCGTAGAACATGTCCAAGCCACCGAAGTCGGTGTTTCAAGATGGTGACACCAATTTCATTATCGTCTCTGTTTCCGAACACACGATGCCGAACCTCTGCATTACTGACATGGTGTTGCCACTGGATGTCAGCAATCCTTCGGAGGCAACGATGATCGAACACAGAGAGTCGTCTAACGTCCTCAACTCGGAGAGGCCAGGTTTCACAAGCATGGAGCAAAACTGCTCTCACCGACGCGTTGTAGATTCGACCTTTTACAGCCAGACTAACATCACGAAGGCGCCAAAGATGGCCCAGATTGGCATGAGCCGCTTTGGCTTTCATTATACATGCATTGATCTCACCACTAACGCCACCACCAGCACTTATGCAGCTACCCAGATACACGAACTTCTCGAAGGGTTATACTTAATAAGTCCATCACCGAGGGACATGGACCTTTGAAGTACCTTTTAAACAAGCAGTTAAAACAGTTTAGGGAGTTGCCCGACTGATATTCGATTAAGTCTTAGTGTCCCACCGCTTGTCCCTGTTGTAACTTATGTCCCAACTCTTGCTTTTGTCTGTAAGTTTGCCCAAAACATAAATGAGAACAAGTAGTATGAATTGACATCAGATGTTTCTTGTATTGATTGTTAGGGGTTTCCTTTTACACTAAATATTTAGTATAAATCGGAAATACCCCCCCCCCTAATACACATATATTGTTAGTTTTTGAGTGAGGTAAAAATCATTAGCTACCTGAAAGTTTACGAGGTCGTTTGTATACAAAGTAATTCGTTTGAGACGATAGACATACCTACGAATAGCCCTCGCTAGGCTTATTTTGTTGACCTAGAAGTGTAATTTGAGTTGATTGGATGACCTTACGCCAATTCTTGGTTATGAAGGTGGTGTACGGAAAGTATGGTAACTATTGGAATTCGAAATCTGTGACAGGAAACTTGTGATATGGCACAAACACAAACATGAATTCATTTATCTCATATAGTTTTGTTCTGTTATTTTATAAATAAAAGACATCGTCATATAAATAAAAAGCTTCACAGTGGAAAGTTACAGTTGGAAAACTAAAACCTGCCTGAATTAGGATCTCATGGGGTCACTAAGCTGTAAGTGCAAATGTTAAATAAGTGGTTCTACATGTTGACATTTCAGTCTGAGTTTACTTGCTGCTATTAACCATTAGTTAACATTCTCAATGATTTGACAAGTCTTGTTAAGTTTATTGACTATACAAAAGTTAAAATAAATATTTTAGGAAGCGGAAACGTCGTTTGGCTGATCGCCTTCTTACAAAGACAGTACGAGAAATCATTCCGGAGTCTGAGTCATATATGGAGCTTTTAGAAGTTGAAAAGAAATTGGATTTTGTTTTGATGCGCAAACGTTTAACACTACAGGAAGCAATGAAAAAGCCTTTCAAGGTAGTTTGTCAATCTTTTGGCAATATCAACATTTATTTATAGGTGAAGCGCAAATTAAGAGTCATGCTCAGCAGCACTTTTAAGCCTGGCTCTACTGTTATGCCTGTTGGATCAGATGCACAAACTACACCTGGTGATTGTGCACCTGGTTGGGAGCTGAAAGTCGAAGGACAGTTGTTAGATAAAGTGAGTAGATATAATCATTATTTTTTCTCATTTTTTCCTCAACATTCATGTCCATTGTAAATTTCGGCAAATAAGTTCTCCAAGTGATATCGTATTACCTCATTGATATTGTATATGTTTGATCGATTCAAACACCAATTATATTTGAAGAGTTAAAATACTAATCTTATGGTCAATTACGTCTTTATAGGGTCAGATAATACTTAACGATGATAATTTTAAAACCTATTAAGGTAATTTTATACTTGTGTGTATATCTCTACTCAGTGCCAATAAGCATTGAGTGTATTATGGCGGATTAGCGTAGCTTGTGATACACTGTAGTGTCGAGTACTATGTCAATCCGACGTGGGTTATTCTAGCCTCCAGACGGACCAATCTATTCATATTTAGTCACATTTTGACCATGCCAACTACTCACTCATATCATTGACTGTTTTTATATGAGCGTATGTGTGTATATCCCTTTCATTATTCATCACATGTCTTTAGCTTATTTTTCTGGCTATAAATACTGAGTCACGCTTTATCAGGTGGATCTGGCGTGTTTGCCTTCTCCTATCAGCTTCGCTTCAGTTTGCCGCTTCTCACTCTTAATGTCTATCTGAATAAACGAGTGTCGGAAATAGATTCATCCAATCGAACCCGTATTTGGCTTCCTATCACCGCCGTCACACAAACGGGATTAGCCTAGGTGTAATATAGAGAGTTAAAGGGAAGACTCATATTCATGGCGTTTTCTGCATCCATCCAGATTGTAGTCAAATCAACGGGGCACTGAAGCATCATGTTTAATTGTCTATGCAAGGTAAAACAAAAGCAGGTAATTAGTAACAGAATTGCCTAGGTTTGTAAATAGTTTATGACTTTTTATTTTTATACGTCTCATGTTTAGAAAACGTGTTTGTCATCTAATATCATCCAATATCGGTATACATGACTCCATACATTATTAGTATGTTCCTGGCATAAGATTGGCTGGATTAGTAAAGAAAAGTGTGTTTTTGCATTTTAGCCTGGTCAACCAAGTAATAATGACCCGAAATGTCGTAGAAAATTTTCATCTTTTTTTAAATCACTTGTAATCGAATTGGATCGTGAACTTTATGGTCCTGATAATCATCTAGTTGAGTGGCACAGGACAGCTACAACGGCTGAAACTGATGGATTTCAGGTATATATTGGGTTTTATGTAACGGATTTTGTTTTTGTTCAAATCAAACGTGTATTTTTCTGGCTGATGCTTTTTGTTCTCTATAAAAAGACTAGTGTTTTGTACATATTTATTTTCTACTTACAACCAATGAACGTTGATTAGTTGTACTGTTATTGTAAATGTGGGACACCTTGTTTATTATATAAATCGTTTATCAAGTTAACATGTGAAGTGATTGAACCAACGAAAGTAGTTATTAGTAAGTAACATAATTAGATGACATCATATAAATGTTAAATGGAGTATGACGGTTGAACATATGTGCATTGTGGTAGTTGATTTTGAACCATCCTAACTATAATCTACAATAACATATTTCTAAGTCTCAAGGATCCCAGTCATTCATAGCTCATACCAGCGGTTTTAAATTTATGGATTGGTGCTGTCTTGACGAAGTAGTTTATGGCAGTGAAACGTGGCCGGTAAGAGTAGAAGATATTCGTAGGTACTAGTACTCGATCATAGGTGTCTTCGAAACATTGCTCGTATATCCTGGGACCATCGAGTAAGTAACACAGTTGTTAGGAAACGCGTACTAAGTAAGGATGGCGAATCGATTGATGGAGTGGTGAAACTTCATCAGTTGAGATGACTGGGACACGTGTTACGTATGCCCAATGACCGACTACCTAGACGTGTGATGTTCAGTGGTATAGGAGTAGGTTGGAAGAAAGCTAGGGGCGGCTAGACCAAAACATGGCACAAATCCATGAAGTCACTGACAAGTGGGCTAAGCCATGTTGGTAGATGTAGACTACATGGTTGGGAGCCGCGAGACGATAGCAACCGATGGTTAGAGACCCTGAATGACATGGCTCAAAATCGTTTGCAATGGCGCAGGTGCATACACTCTTTGTGTTCTCCCAAATTTTAATCTCCTGATTCCTCCTTGTCTTTTTTTTCTCTTCCCAAATTTATTTTACTGGATTATACTCTTTAAATCACATCTCCAAACCCTAATCTTCCCGATTACTGCTTATACTCTTACTACCCCTACCACTACGGGATTTGAATCGACAACTGCATCTCTGTGCTAATGTGGTATGGCAATTCAAACTGATGTACGTACGTACGAAGTTCTACGTTGTTACTGACTGACTGAGTAGTTTTTGAATATGCTAGAAATTTTTTCGAAGTGACTTGATTCTTATGAACTTTTCAGACCATCTACCTTAAACAGTCTTACAGATAGATGTAAGGTGAGAAGTAGATAGCTAGACAACATGCTTGTCTTCTGACATACATTTGAACATTCTCTGGTACTAAAAGCGGTGTACTCAGTCATATATAGAGTCCAGATTTCTGTATCCTTGTCAAGATTTTGTTAACAAGGTATTAACCATAATGTACTTTACTCATTTATCTTGAAAAAAGTGGGTTAAAAAGTTTATGTAATGTTACACTTTCGTATTGCATATATACATATATATATATATAACTACCGAAGCATTTTCTATAAACACAAAGATATGTAGAACTGATATCGTATTCATTGATAAGTTTTTTCCGATTGTAATTTAAAGGTAAAACGTAGAGGCGATAGTAATGTTCGGTGTACAGTATTGTTAATGTTAGACCATCAACCTCCACAATACAAGTTAGACTCACGTTTAGCAAGAATATTGGCCCTGCATACTGGTACGCGTTCACAAATATTCTATGCTTTATGGAACTATATAAAAACACATAGGTTAGTTTTAATTATTCATTAGTTTACCCTACTTATATATTATCCCAATATACCTCCAATAATGTTTTAGTGTATAACCCTATCCCTCCCCTTGTTCACAGTGTGACCGTGAAATGTACTCTCAAAATTCATGATATGGAAAAGTTGACGGTTTGTGACCTCTAATCTAGTCTAAGCACCTATTTCTCACGCACACACAAGATTTAATACTCTCAGACTATAGATAGATCTGTATGTAAAACTCGTAAATTATCTTATTGTATGGTAGTACGTCAATGATTGTAGTTGAAATAGGATTTTTTTTATCTCAAAGCCATTTACACATGAGGTGTGATATCTGTCAAATTAAAGGTAATTTGGAGTAATTCTCAACTCATATATATTCATAAAGGTGTACAGAATTTAGTTGGTGCTTAACGCTTGGTAATTTTGGGTCCTGAACTTCTATATTAGGAAAATATCACAGGTTTTATCAGAAACATAAACTCTCACTTTTGGTCTGTTTTCTTGTTCTAGCATTCTCCCTGTATTAATTATCCATACTTCGGCACTCACCAATCCCATAAAACCATTTTCCCCTTTGAACTTCCTCGTTATAGTTACCAAAATGATTTTGTTGGCAAGAAAATAGTTGTCATTTATTGCGACTGAAATTTTTTGTTAGTGTTTTCATCCGTTTCTGTATGTTTGTCATTTCTCTAGATTACAAGATCCCAATGAAAAGGATTTCATCAATTGCGATTCATACTTAGAACAAGTGTTTGGCTGTCCTCGTATGAGATTCGCTGACATACCTAGTCGTTTGGCTCCTTTACAGCAACCGCCTGATCCTATAGTGATTAATCATATTATCACAGTTGAAGGTGATGGTAGTCCGAAAACAGCATGCTATGATATTGAGGTTGAAGTGGTATGCAACGATGTTTATGTGTTTACAGCATAAATTAACAAGTATTTGTAATTGAGACGAAAATTTGTTAATTCCGACATAGTATTTTAACATTAGATATGTTATAACTGATTTGGTTATACAATAGTGATATTATTATTGTTATTATTACTAATGTATTCCAATTTCAGCGATACCGTACAAATTGAATAACTTCGCAACCGGGTTTAAACTTTAGCCGTAGATATCCCTAACACCATATCTGTTTTTTTGAGAATTTTTTTACTCTGACAAACTGTTTTTTTAGGTATTTACATTTGATAAGAAGTGTTTTCAGTTTGGCTTAATTTACTTCTCAGTGACTTGGTGTATCTGTGTTGCGCCACAATATTGTTGTGTAGTTTTATTTCTACCTTATGGATGTCCACTCACCATTTAATGTCTTGGAAGCTTTGTCGAAAAACTAACTTCTTCTTTTAGAAGAAACGAGGATAAACATGAACACTTTACATAGGTTATTTTTAGTACCGGTCTTTTGCAGTATGAGTGCACATCAGCATGTAATACTGTTAAAATTTGACATGACATCTCACTAAAATGTAGTCATATTCTTGGATGACTTTGTCGATTATGCATGAACGATTTTCTAGACAATTAAACTGTCTGGAACACTCAAATGTTTAACTTTTTAAAGCTGAACTGGGTTAATACTTCAGCCGCTACTGTCTTTTCATATTGTTTTGCAGAGATTCAAAACTCATGCAAAATAACATGGTTTGATTTTCATTTAGATATATCAGTAAACCTATCAAACAACCAACCTAAATCGTTCACTTACTCTAGGTAAGTAGGAGAATTTGTTTGAAGCTGGATATTTAGATAGGTACATTTGAAAACAAATAAAATGCAAACGGCATCAGCCCTTGAAGTCACTAACTTCTAGTCTGAGCCATGCTGGTAGATGCAGAACCCATTTTAACTTTTTTTTACTACAGAAACTGCTATTTTACAAAGAACATTTTACAGTTTCTCTTTGTGATTAAAAAGCTTCCTAAATCTAACTTTCAATTACTGTTGTTCACAGGACGATGCATACAAAAGTATGGTACATACTTATCTAAGTAATATGCATACAAGTCAAGAGCTATCTGCAATAGATAATAAAGTAAGTTTTCGTTTGTCGTAAACGTTTTGCTCAAATCATTTCAGATTTTTACGAAGTCCACAAAACTCGACACCATTGTTTGAGAGAAAGCATACACTTGAAATATTCGAAAAAGTTTAAGTGTTTCTACTTCACCCTTTAACTTTCTCTGAGAGAGAAACAGTAGGACCCGGTATAAAAATGCATCGGTTCGAGTCAAAGGTTAGAACCATGAATTCGTCGATCACACAAACAGAACATGAGTTCAGGGCGAACTGGATTTTGGTAAGAATCTGGACAATTATACGAAAGTGAGCGTCAGTCCAATTCACATGTGGGGCATTATTGTCCAATCCAAACGTGAAGTATTTAGAAGGTGGTAAACTGTAGGTAACACTCTGACAATGGTTATATCGAAAGTTGATAACGGCAAACTATACGTCGCGATAATGAAAATCCTTCTAATTTCTTGATCTAATATCAAATATTCTCATTGCCCACCTAGACAGGTTTCATTTTTGAGCTATAGTCCTGATGTGTCCATTCAAGTCGACTACACACAAACGATTGTTAAGCGCACCTCGTTGAAGTCATTCGGACTACGAAATAAGTTCTCTCTTCTGTTATTTCTTACACTTACTAAATCCTTTAGCCTAGTAGCAAGTTATCGACTGTTAAGACGGATTAGGTGGGTCGGTAATGTTGTACTACATAAAGCAACACTAACACCAGAAGTATTAGATATTTGTAGAACAAGGTCCTTGAATGTGCGTACGTAGCACATTTCCGGCGTTCAAAAACAAAGGATAGGTTTGCAGTAGGTTAGTGTGATATAGGATGCGAGTCTTCCAGATATAGCATACACCTGAAGCAAGGCTTTCTAGAGTCGTAGGTAAACCGGTTTAGGTAGACATGGGAACGTTGCATGTAAAATGTTAGAGTTGTAGTTCCAAATTAGCTGGGTTGAACCTAGCATGTAGTGGGTTTTCAATAGACGCATCTAGTGGTTTTCAACTGTCTACACAAATTAGTATTTCGAACTTCCTTTCTTTTTTTGTGTCCACATGAACCGATGAGTTCCTGTTTTTTCTTGCTTTTTTGTATTTATCTAAGCTAAATGTACAAATAAGCCATTTCTTCAAATAGTTGTCAGATTTGTCTGACAATACACATACTGTGTTTCTCGTGTAGTGGATGCCTGTTATCATATGCTTTCGTGATTTGTTCTAACCTTTTGATGAATAAATTATTCTTTCTGTTTGTCTCATCACTCATATGTTTGCCCTTGTTAATTACTAACGTGTACTCTTGATCATCCCTTATGCGTGTATACGCTAGTACGTACGTGTCTGTATACCTGCTTGAACCTCTTTCATGCTTATGAAGACTGAGTTACCCATTACTCTCTGAGCTGGCTATTTCTCACACTTCAGTTCACGCTCATTTCTCGTCCGTCTGCATGATAGAATATCTGAAATATACTTCCTTCAAATGCTTTCGTATTCAGCTTCTCATATCTACGTTATTAACAGGATATATCGATAAAATACATACGGAGTAAATGGAATATGTCTCCTTAACATCAATATCATTCGATACTATATAGTCAGACGACGAGCCAAGACTTGAAATAATTTAGTAGTAGCGGTCTTTTTAAATCAGTTTTTATTTATTTCGAATTACTACAGATACACGAATTAGTTGAACAGATCAATCAAATGAAAGTACATCGCGAATTTTACTTGGAATTCAGCCGTGATCCACAGACCTTTATATCGCGCTGGTTAGCTAGTCAGTGTCGTGACTTTTGGGTGATGACCGATGCTACGCCGGGACATCCGGAAGAAGAGCGTCATGCTGAATTCTACAACGCTCACTGGACACAAGAAGCAGTAATGCGCTACTTTTACAACAGGGTAAGCCATTGTTATTCGTTTAGCTTAAGAAACAACAATATGCAATATCCCACAAACTGGTAGAGTTTTAGCGAGGAGAAGATTTATTTCTCCCTAACAGATATTACTCAACACTAATTGGTAAACGTCTTATGACTGCAGCAGCTATGCGTAGACCTCTTACTCTGTCCCTTTCTTTTGTAAAATGTGAAGTGTTCCCCATCGGCACAGTACTTCGTTGGACAAAATGCAACCTGTTCGGTAGTGGAGCTTCAGGGTAGTAGACACATGATCTGACACTAGATGTCTCAAATGCAGTTTTGTCCACTAGTGTTTCCATATCGTAAGCTATAGTGGTATCCACTCGCTGTTGTTTTTCTAGGCTAATTGGTAAAAACACTGTCTGTTTATGCCCACCGTTGGGTTAGTGTAAGGTCTGTACGCGTAAACTTGGTGCTTGTCGTCGTATGGTCGCAGTAACGAGTCATCATTATATGTGCGGTGGCATAGAATACAAAAACCCTCACCATAGTGTTTTCCTGATTAGCTGACCCCATCTTCTAGAGGATAACATATTACGTTTACCAAGCGTATGCATTTCATGATTCATAGTGATCACTACTTACCAACACTAGATTTTTTTCAATTTGAAATAAAGCATCAGTTTGTATGGGTCCTTCTTCTTGAAACAATAAATATGGAGAATATTGAAGCCTTTGATATTCCAATTTATTCTCACAATTGGATAATAGGATACGGAATTCCCGTCTGAACTTAGGACAGCAAACTCAAACTTCATGTATCTACAAAAGCCAACTTGGTAGTTCGTTTATGCCTTTCCGATGATGTTTTCATTCCCATACAAAACGAGTATTCGTTGAGATAAGGCTTAACTGCCGCTTTTGTTTCACAGATTTCCCAAAGACGACAGGACTTGGAACACGCACTGGGTCTTAACAACAATTGATGCTAAGGATTAGCTGTATTCTTGTGCATTTTAAACCAATATCAAAAGAAATGTGACCACTAGTTACTGACTTCCAATATATATTCCGTTATTTGTTGTATATGTTTCTGTACTAATATATTTTAAAGCCTATAATATCTGTTATACTGTCAAGTGATAAGGACTTATCCTTCTTGGGATAATTTATATATTTCCTGTAATTCAGAAGTCTTGTTTCCTGTGTTGCTTGAGTCACTTATTGACATGGACATACGAAGCAATTGTCTTATGATATAAAATGCCTTTTGAAAGTAGTCACACAGAGCATACAGGTTGGATACAGTGATGAAAATAATCAGTAATAGCCTCAAAATGAAGCTGACAGTACCATCAATATACAACCACGAAATAGTTGTTCATTAAGAAACGCTTCCTAGGTTCATTAATAAATAACAACCTGCAGCCAAAGCGCTCATTTGAATAAACAACCTCTGCCATACCGAACTTTATTCATGAATGTTAGTTTCAAAAGAGATACAACAGCATCGATTGCTTAAATTATCCGTAAAACCTTTATTCAGCCAGGTAGTTTGCACTTTTCTACATATTAGACCAACAACCAATGATTTCACGGACTAATGCCACATTTCGATCAACTGTCCTTAGCTTCCTTCCAAATTTCGCACTTCCAAACTACACATATCGAAGTGTGAGGCGGTTAGGCATACACAATACACATTTCAGCCATCTCAGTCCACGGAGATTTACAACTTTGCCTAGCACTCTATGCCTAATCTTAACATTGCTCGCTCGGTCATTTCAAGAAGCGTGAGCGATGATTTGAAGACACTTATGATCAGAAACTTTTAGTCTACGAATATCTTTGCTGTGACAAACCAAGTTTCACAGCCGTGAAGTAGAACTACCTAACTTTTTTTATCCGTAGTCCAAGTGTTAGAGTAAACCAGTCCTGAAGTAACGCGTCTCAGTATTGTTGCTCCAGGTGATCGGAAGACTGCGTTTTGTCAGCGTCTTCAATAAATAGGACTACGTCAACCGAACATTTCAGGTTGACGAGACACTGGTTCGAACACGGCTCAACTACATCGACTCGGACAACCAGGTAGTATCGTCAGCCTTGACACCTGGAGTGCGACTTTTACCTAAATATAGAGTGAGTTAATCTAAGCTTAAGTTAGATTTGATAAGCAAACCTCATGGTCGCAAAACAGTCATTTCAAGAGCTGAGGTAGCCAATGATCCACAGTATATTCGGTCGTAATCCATGTATGGTGCGAGAGGGTTGAATATACGATTAACAAATATTCAATATTTCAGCGCAGTGTTGCGTATGAAACGTAACTTTTCTGGCGATGGGGACGACAGTCGCTCTGTCCCAGGATGTCGTTATACTTTAATCAACAATCCTGCCGTTGTTTAACGAAAAGTTTGCCTTCTCAAACAGGAGACTTATCAATGGCGCTGGAGATTAGTTTCTCGCCGTGTGAGGCGAACTAGCGATCACGGTGCATTCTGATAGATACCGCTGGAATAAAAGACGAACTGAACCGTTTCTTGAAAACTGTCCTTCAAGACTTCATTAGGAGTTAATGGTCGCTGTCCCATCAACACAAAAAGTCTCACTCATACAAGCTTTCTACCAATGGCTCAGATGCCCTGCGGTAAGTGCCAAATGTAGGTTCAGCCTTCAAATCTGCACCAAGATCCGTCCAGGTTTTTCTTCCTACTTAAGCGTAACATGTTTATTGTAAAACTCGCGGTTAGGTGTAGTAGATCGACGAGTTTCAGGTTGTAAGGAGCCTGCTTACTATCTAATCGTGAATGTGCAGTGTATCACATTGGGAGAATATTCACTCGTATTGTCCTGTGTTTATTACGTACATACGCAAAACAAGGTCACCAGCTGCTATGTTTATCAATTTCTTGGAGGTCTATTATCTAGGTTAAACAAATCCACAGTTCTCAATTATTGTGACAAGAAACGTGTACGTTTGATTGCAGTACGAGCAGACCTGCACGACATAAACTCTAGCTTCAACGTCTTAATAGACATATCAGTAACAGCCTTCTAGTCAGTATTGTGAAATGGACCCAGTTAGTGTTAAATCGTCTCGTTTATGGTACACAGAAGTTTTAAAGATACACTTATCGTAAAAACTGATTACAATATTTGGGCCAACGTCACTATATCACGAACATAAGAACTCGAGAAAACAGCGAATGACTTTGAGTCGTGTCACCTAGTTTACAGACAACTATTACCGCCCTACCACATTTTCAAATGTAGTTTGGAACAGTAGTTAAAGCAGGTGTGAGTCCGCATCAACTACTTCAGTCCGGCCAATCTGCAAGCAATATCAACCCGTTAAATAAATCTAAACGCTAGCTGCAATTTTGTATTTTTGTTTACATCCAGCCTACCAACCACATGGATGTTAGAGTATCTGAGTACAAGTGCAGTCTCCAGTTTACTATTAAATGATTTTTTAATTAACCCTATTTTTAAGAAATAGCTGTGAAAATGATGTTTTTAAACAAAAATACTGTCAATTGGACGGTAGTTTTGATGAATCCTTAAAGGTATTAATCAAACTATAATACTTATTTACCTAACGGTTTCGTAATTTAGGTTGTGGTTTAATACTACACTTATTCCCAACTGTATAAACAAGCTTAGAAGAACCAGATGTTGAGTGTATGATCTGATAGCAATGAAGCCAGTTTGTATTAACTGGATCTTATATGTGAGACGAAAATGCTAATATTTAGCGGCAACCTAATAATGCAAAACGTAGTTTCCAATAGTCGCTTGCAATCGAATTACATTGTTAGATGGTGACCTAGTGCTTAGGGAGTTTAATTTCCAGCCACTACGTTTCACGTTCGGACCTTGCACTACCAACTTTGGTTTGGGCAACTGAATAGCATCATTAGCCTTCACACTAAGAGTGCAGCTTATATCCAAGTACATGGGAAATCAGTTGTTTTATCCAGCGTAAAATAAAACAGATGAACTCATATGTACTGCTTATTTGAAATTTCCAATTGATGTGTAGGACTACAATTAACAAATCTCTTTTAACATATATGAACCCTGTGTGGATTGCCTCAATATTTTCATTGTCACAGACGTTATAAAGAGATGGATGATAGCTAGCAGTTGGACGGGTTCAGAATACGTATTTCGTCACACTTGGAACGTTTTAGCTAGATGAAATAAGAGACTAAATCTTGGGTGCTCTTAGGTACATCAGAGAAATGCCAAATGGCAGTTAATACTTATGGAACATTTATAAATAAGCTAAATTTTTCATATAATGAAAAAATAACAATTGTTCCTTAGTTACAATTTTGTAACACTTTTCTTCTTTGACGCATCATGTGAGTGTACATTGTCTTCGAACCTTTACAAAAGAGTTGTGAAGTAATGAGAACTTACCTGGAATGTAGGTTATAAGTATAGTAACCAAAGCAAACCAATAATAGAGTGAACAATTTAGAGCGTTTGGAAGATTGAAGGAATATTCTTCTGTTTCCTTCAGTCTTTTTATACCACTTACTATTAGAAGAACCTCACCCTTAATCATTGATTACCCATGAACTTCTATGACTTACAGAAATCCCAGTTGGATACAAAACCATAAAACCTGAGTACCTTTTGAAATAAATGAATCATGAATTTTTCTTACCTTAACCAAGTTAGCAGATTTAACTTGACCCTACATATATCTGCTACATAATATGAATAACGAATCATTTCAGCAATAGACCACGATATAACAATGAGTGGGACACCCAAATTATCACGTGCAACCTAAAGTATTAGATCACACTAAAATCACTTACTTCTGGGACTATATATAAAATTCCCCACACAACTAGTAACCGGGAAGATACCTGTAACATTGTTGTCATGACGGAAGATCTAACTAATCCTACTGCGGAATGGATTATCTACAGAAGTTAGTAGTTTTTTTCTCGACAAAAATACCTCAACGACAGCTAGTGATTGGAACAGGCGTAGAAAAAAATCTACTTGAACACTGAACTCAAACCACTTTCTTTTGATGGAGGACTCAAATATGTATAAAGATAGTATATAACCCCATCTGTAAACTATTAAAATATTATATCCGAACAAACCCCATTAGCTGAAATCCATTGTATATTCCCAGATAACTTTTCTTGATATTCATCCGTACTTTTGAGGTATCATAAAGAGATTTAAAGAATCCATTAACATCTATTGTCTCAAATATTTGTATCTCAAATACATTTTATGCAAAACACTAAATTACTTTCAAATGGTATGGGTTCGCATGTAAGTTATGTTTGACAAAATTCTTATGATTCACTTAAGTCCAAATAAAGGGTGAATATTCAACGTGCTGCTCCCTTTCACAAGTCACACTAAATGACGACAAACAGTGATCTGCATCACAGATCCTTGGACAATACCTACAAAAGATTTAAGTCAAGGGGGTTTAGTATCTCAAGATGGTACTGACTGGTGAGTGGCTTGAGTCACCATAAAATGTGGCTAGTCCTCTAAGGAAAATGGTGAGTAAACAAATATAACAGCGCAGTCTTTTCCACCCAGAGATCACGTTTTACAAACAAACATGAACTATTTACCAGGTAGTGCTTAAACTCGTCAAAAACAGTGAAGCATCTCAACTTTTTGTAGTTTAATGGTGTCTTTTCCAGACATAATTTAGCCAATGTTCATCGGGAAGATCGATTACACAGCAAGCTATTTGTTTCTATTATATACACTTATAGATGACTGGTAAGCACTTTGATGACGCCGGAAGTAGTAGTTAACTGACATTTCAGGGGTTTTGATTTATTACATTGTAGAAGTATCAGGAGACTGCTGTCTTTATAATTAAATAATCATACATTACCAAATTAATGGTTTTGGAGTCGTATTAGAACTACTTTGGAGAATATTTACACTTGAATTAGACGAGAACATAGGAGTGAAGCCTTAGCAAATGTATTTTGTCAAGTCTATGTTAAATTGTTTGCTACATATACATCTCGACTCAAGATTCAGGGATAAAAAGTGACCAATCCATTTGTGAGTGCATTGTCAGTGAAGTTAGTACCTTCGATCCCTTACCAGAATAATTAACTCTAAGCAGAACTGGAAGATCAGTAATGTATACATTACTGATTTCACATAAGAAACTTTAAAAATTACTACCGTCATCTTGTGTAGTAAAGGGGTATTCACACATTAGCAACTAGAACAAAAGTCAAGATTCCAAGCTGTCTGTTTCATTTAACTTAATAAAAGTCTAATTACGTTTAGTAATCTTAAATCATGGCAGCTTCGCAATCGTATGTATACACATAAGATCTCGCCTGTAAAGTATACTGTCGTGAGATTTGCAGATACTTTGACCTATCGTAGGCTGATGCTGAGTGCAATAACGTTCTTCAGGAAAATCTGACGATCAAAGGCACATTAATACGCAGGAGTGCACTGTATGGGCAGATGAGAGGATTAGAATATAGATGATACTACGAAAAAAAGCAATCAGTAAGACTTTGTCATTTCAAGTTTTTGCCTTTATCATTCTTTCTAAGCATTATTTTGAAGAGGATTTTTGGCGAAACTATAATTTATGGACAAACCAATCCGATACAAGATAACAAGTCTTAGAATTTGGCGCGAACTTCATTCATCCGTCTGCCTAGATGGAGTCTTGGCACTTTAGCCGGTGTCAGTTCGTGATGAAAAATTTAAATCTTGTTCCTAACCATGAACTGTAAATCATAATTATAACTCCTCACACTGCTTTATAACCGTCATTTAGTCCTAGTTAATATGTGGACATTCTCAGGATTACAATAACGTCGCACATGAATTATAGTCTTACAGAAGATGTGAAAGTACACAGCAGTAAGCTGGGATGAACTTCCATCATTGCTTAGTTCGATTCATGTGCGAGGTGGCAAGACTACCGTGGGTACCTGGCGATTATACTGCTTCCAACCTTGGATTTGCCTAAGCGCTGTGCTTTGTGTTCGTCACGCTCAATGCACAATATCAACATGTCTAGTCAGTAAACGAATGATTAGTTCGTGAGTCTTGTATTTCAGATTTTTGATCATTTTTGCTAAAAGGATTTGGATCACATAATATTCTCAGACCGTCATGAACTACGTGTCTCTTTCATCAGTTTTTCGCAGTGATTTATTGAACGTGCTGTAGTGACTCACATTTATCACGAGAACACAAATATTATTATAACCAACTGTACCGGTGCTTGTTTTAATGCGCTCTTGTTCGACTGTGCTAATGACAGCTATATTGTGCTTCCATTCCTATTCTCACACTTTGATTGTAACTTTGCGCGAATTCGGTTACGTTCTGTAACCAAGCTTGTATCCTGGCACGATCTCGATATCCTTTCGATACCACGAGATCGCCAGCGAATATATATCGATTTGGTCCATTAATTGCCTTCTGATATTTGGCTTTTCAGGGATTTTATAGATTTCTTTGGTTACGTTCGACCTTCGCCTTCTGATCTACTTGGCACGTGTTTCTTGGTAGCGGTGGTCATAGGTAACCTCAACTCACACCACGCTACAGTGCTTGTGTTCGACCGATCTAGTGTTTCTTAACATATCTTTTCCGATTTTCAATGTTTTGCAACACTGTCATTTCTCCTTGCATTTGCTTAGAGTTTATCACCACAAAATAGGACCTCGTATCACTATTTAATGTACATCATCACAGTTCGCAAATACTTTATATTCGTGCGCAAGGGAGATGGGAAACTCATTTACCGGAATGGCGGTATCCGCGGCTTGACATTGTGGTGTTATGTCCAAGATGGCGTTGGTCTCCGGCAAAAATTTGATTTCTTGGTTTTTAATGAGTATTTATGGGTGATAAACGTTCCTTTATTATTAAGTGTTGCAAACTGAGTCGAGAAAGCTCGAAAGCAAAGTGTATTTTCGTATTTCTGCCAACTTCCGCCCATACAGTGAAGCCACATGGTTCCAGTTTGAGGATGATGGAGTAGTCGGCTGTATTAATCAGTAAAGTCTCTTAGAAATAAAGTATATCGGTTGTCAATCAGTGACTGAAAGTTTATTTTATTATGTTAAGTTTCTCAGACGGATCCAAGAACAGTTTGCATTCACATAGCCGAGAATACTTGCCGAACGATCTCTGAACAAAAGGTATTGGCTGCAACATAATGCAAACTTTGGTATTTATAATCGCGACTGATTTGGGATTAAACAACGTAAATAACAGCATTGGTGAAAATTCGAACTGAACTATGTTGTTGAAGCAAAGTTGTTAACGATTGAAACCATTTTATCCATAACTTTTTAGGTTTCGGATCTTCAAATTTCATTCTAGCTGGTCTGAGAAAAGTTAGAAAGGTTTACTTAAGCTATGGTGAAGTCGGAGTAAAATAAATAGTGTACTGTAGTATATCTGAATTGATTTGAACTTGTCACACACATTATTGCAAACAAGTGGAATCGAACTACGCTATCTACTCATAATTACCTTAGTGCCCATTAGATATTTCAGTTGATTCGCATAAATAATAAAGTTGTTGGAACTCGACTAATGTTTAATTGGTTCAAATATGGAGAGAAGTTTGACTTAACATGGATATTGGACAAATTTAAGCTCCATATCGCCAACAGGTCGAATTATCTATGGTCTACAAAATGTGCAGTATTTTATTCTGGTTAGCGTTTTTTAGCGAGTTGGTTTTCTACAGAATGGAGTCTCTAACCGCACGCCCGACCCCCCTCCTTTATGTGGGCTTGGGACCGGCAGTAGCCTTAGAGGGGCTCCAGGCGGGGTTGTATAGTAGAAATAACTCGTCTAAAATGCAATCATAATGCGGTAATTTGATATTCGTTGAGCAATATGTAAAAGAATAGGAATCCAAAAAATGTTGATATTTATGAAGAACGGTTCATGAGAATATCATCTGATGACCCAGTCAGTCTCTGATTAACAAAAACATTGTTAATTATTTGTACAGATATTTGATAACCTGTGAAAGTCGTTGATTAGCTGAATTCAATGATGACATACATCAGAAGGTAAAAGTGTAGCTGTGTGGTTCTGGTCATTTTCATGATATAATTTAATTTCTCACTGACTATCTTAATTCTTATTTGGCTACCTACTGAACTTCGGCGGTGGATTGAACCGATATATCTATCGAGGGAAGAATTGCGTCACTGGCTAATAAGGGGCATTTTGCTCTCTCTGATAACCAATTAGTGTTGCATTGATATTTTGTAATTTGACTGTGCTACGTTTTAGAGTGCAAAATGTATACCTTTTGTCCCTTTGACTGAATCAAGTTGGGTTAGATATCTGCAGTAAGCGAGGAACTCGGAGTTTGTTGCAGATACCCACTACACGTATCTTTATGTTCACAGTTGACGCCACTGTAACTAAAGCTTGTGTTTTCATTTGTCTTCAAATTTTCATTCTTAACGAACTAAGAACGTGAAGAAAATACCAGAATTTCTGTAATTATTGCCCTTGTAACACTTATCACGTGATTCTTCAAGATTGAGACGATCCAATAGAAAATAAGCATGTATGCATTTTGGTGACTCCCAGGTGAACAACATGATCAAAAGCATTGACTTCAAGATTTTTTTAGGATTACGGCGGCAAATGACAGATAAACCCAAACCTTTTATAGCCGGTGAGGACATAAATTTTCGCGCCGAACAAACAGTGAGGTCCTCTTTTGTTGCCCAGAGTACGATTAAAGTTTTGAAATAACCTAATTGACTTTTGCATATTATTTTTCAATTAGATGCTAATTATGCTTATGAAGGACTGCTCAGGGGTGATATGGACCTTGTTTTCGGAAAAATACGTTAATCAACCCAAAGGCACGAAGATTTGTACAGTGTAATTCATTACGTTCACGACTACCAAATTAGGCTATTACTACAATACTTCAGTGCCCGACTGGTGCCTGAATACTGTCGGTTTATACTTAGTAGCTCTTGTATAAGTGACGAATCGAAAACCGAAGGATGGGGGAGAAAATTTAGAAGAGAGGTATGTAGGAATTGACTGTGGACATAGTTACACGGTTTGATACGTTAGGGTTGAAACGTTTTTGTACAGGGAATTATAGATGTAATCACAAGTTTCGTTTCAAGCTCATATATGAGCTACTATGCTTTAAATCTTATGGTGATCTTCAATAGCTATGAACTAAGAAATCTCATTAGATTGGTCGCGATAGACTATTGTGTGTCCGACACAGTGATGACATCTTCGTAAAAACGTTTCTGTCATTTGTGTTGGTTAATGATTATAATATTAGAAATGTACATCTTAAGCTACTTCACTCTTTAAATTAATAGGATTTTAAAAGAATCCCAAGACATTAGATGGGCTGCCAGTGTACTAGAAATTAAATGCCTCTAAAAATATAATTGGGCCATTTAATGTGTGAAATATTGTTAAGAAACAACCAGTATTTTAACATAAGACTACTGACTACTTCTTAAAACCCTGGATAGTACTCTTGCCACATAAATTATTCTGCTAAACGTGATACTTTAGTTATTATTTCATAAACATCAGAAATAAAATCTATGCAGACAATCCAATTTTTCGGTGTAGCAGGTCCACTCTATGTTTAGTAACATGATCAAGATTTCACAGCATGCATTCATAAACATGAGATGTAACTTCAGTAAACTCGTTAAAAAGATCAAATCAGTACAACAGAACATTTATTTTGATATACCAAATTTGAGTAAAATAGGCTTGTGTGATAAACCATATGGCCAGTTTAGGATTATCACAAAGTATCCGAAGTAGGGAGTAATGTACAAACCATCACCTTAGCTGAGTATTTATGGAAACTCCATAGCTGCATGCCACAGACGTGTTGTTAAGAAAGAGGAGCATCTGATGTTACTGACGGACGAATACTCGTTATTTTCAACGATACAAAATGAGGTGTGTTTAATGAAGCGATGAAGCTCAAACTAACTGTTTACACTAGAGTAATCCATCAATAAAAATTCAGAGATGAAGTTCAAAAACTGGATTCAATGTGTGGTGAGGTGAAACGGAGTGGGACATGTTTAGGCTGAGTGAATAAAGTTTGAAATGTAATGCAAAGTAATTCCAGAAAAATGAAAAAGGACTGTGAGGTAGTAAAATAACTAATTAAGATCACTATCTTATCAGTGTGTTTTATTATTTTTTATATTTTCATAGACACTGTCAAGTGATAATCCTTTATTCAGAGATCAAGGGTCTTCCCATGTTCCATATCTCAAGCTGTTGGATATGCTTTCAACATGTTTCTTGTGAGAAGAATTTTCCCAACAGGATTTGCAGAACGGGGATTTGTGTAGTATTTAATGTTTAATCTAACAATCACCTTGAAACCTACTGAGAAAACAAGCCCATAATTAGCATTATTTCGGTAGTACTGACTTATCTATGTCAGATAGGGTTTTGTGGATATTATTGTAATTTCAATAGTTGAGGTCATGAGTCAATTGAAGCTAGACCACTATGAGTAACCTAAAAGCAGTAGACGGCGTTTCGTCTTATTTTGGGACTCCTCTGCAGTGCTCATCCACGATCCCGTCTCGCGAGATCCGAATCCAGGACCTGTCTCGCAAGGCAGGATCGTGGATGAGCACTGCAGGGGAGTCTCAAAATAAGACGAAACGCCGTCTACTGCTTTTAGGTTACCCATAGTGGTCTAGCTTCAATCGACTCACGATCTCAACTAGTGAGATTATCTATGTGTATTGTACTCCTCCTCTGTTTCATCCACTCTGATAAACGTTTGGCTATCGACACACCCTACTTATGCTCACACTTTTAGAAACGCATGCATTGTGCTTTAGTAATTCACAGCACTCCACATACAACTCACTCGCAGTCCATAAGTTGTAGCCGCCCAATATGCCTGTGATATGACGCTTGTGAGAAATGTTTTCCGACAGGATATGAAACACAGAGCATCAAGTAAGGTGTAAAACTTTGTCAAGCAAACACTTTGAAAGAGCCTC